CTTAACTCCTACCAGTTAACGCCCTCTGTACTTAACTCCTACCAGTTAACGCCCTCTGTACTTAACTCCTACTAGTTAACGCCCTCTGTGCTTTTTTCACTATTTAGTCTCCAGTCGGGCGTACAAACAGAAATGAAAGAAAGTTATTCAATAGGCAACAGTGAGTCCATCTTTCCATCTCAAGAAGACGCTCCTGGTTTCAAACAAACTTGTCTTGACTTCCTCAGCCCATGCGTGGCCCTGTGTCGACGCTTTTTGGTGGTCCTGGCCTTATCTTTAGGTAACTTTAATCACATATTGACTACTAGTTAGATATGAGAATCACTTGTCAGTAGGTTTTCTCCGAGTCAATATCTAAAATAACGAATATTACTAGGATAATGTCAGGTCAAAATATTACTTACACTGTTGATTTAAATAAGTCGGACTCTAATCATAATTAGTTCTAATTCTAGTGTAAGATATATTAAATACGTGAGTCTCTGTCTATATGGGCGCTCGCAGGAAGGGGCATTTGCCCCCTTATATTTCACAAACAGTTGCACGTATTATAATATAACATCGTAGTTTTAAACTAAATATTTTTAGTATTTTTTTATTAAAACTTGTGTTTAAGCAAACATAATTTTTTAGTTTTTTGACTTGCACTGTAAAAGCTGGTCCCCTACATACATTTCTGTGGACGCCCATGTCTGTCAGTTGTTGTTCGGCGAGTTTTGTATTGTTTAAACTATGAGATAGTTTGTACGTAATTATAAATATTGTTATAAGATTAGTAGTTTAAAATATCAAAAAATTCTCAACAATATAGAAATAAATTTGTATCAAACAATACATTTTTCACACTGATTTGAGTATTAGTAATAGTACAAATAAACTATAAATATTATCTTCAATATTGGAAGGATTATTTCATATACCATCCTCTGATTTTATGTTGTTTTCCTCACACTTCAGGGTATTCTCTTTCTTTGAAGGCCTTTTGAATTTGCTAGAATTTTGGTATTAAAAGGACAAGGTTAATTCCCTGGTGGAGGAATAAAGTTATTAATTAATTTATATTTATAATCTCTGTAATAATAAGTGTGTAATTTTGCCTAATCATTGAATTTTTCGCCGTCCAGACCTCGCAGAAGACTTTTTCTTGAAGAGACACAAAGAACTCACGAAGTACAAAGAAAACCCATCATCATTAAGAATTCTTTACTACCCTCCTGTGACAAACGTGACTGACCCTACAACCGTTCGTTGCAGTGAACATTCCGACTTTGGGACGGTGACATTTTTATTTCAAGACAGTGTTGGTGGTCTGGAGGTAATATGTGTAAACAAGTAAACTTAACACTTTCGTTATCACGCATTTCAGGTCATGATCGCATCAAATCAAAACGTCTACTGTTAACCCAAACAGTTTTAAAATAATTCAACACTAGGATCTGAATATAGCGGAGTGTTTAGGTACAGTAAGCTGATACCATAGTTTGGAAAGTCTGTTTTAATGCTGTAAGATGTATAAAACTATTATAAATACATCTAAAATATAGGTTTTAATGAAAGCATTAAAACTAAGGGACAGTAGATGAAACCAGTACTATATGTTTATTATTTGGAATTAAATTATTATATAATTAATTATTAGAAATTAATTCGTTAAGAAGTAAACTAGTGGACGATAAATATGGTTTTGTTACGTATCTGCTTGTTTGATAATTTCCGGTGTTACGTCTCGGTTCGTTAGTTAATTTTCCGACGAAACTTTAGCGACACAAGTCCTTTCTTAAATAAAACTGGTTTATTCTTTCTGAATATAACTTTGCGATACACTTAATTTCAACAGTCGCGCTATAACAAACGTCTCACGTGCTCGAGTTCAATTACACACTCTCTGACTGCAGTTCAATTACTCATCACCTCGTCACGTTGTGACCATCTTATATATACCAGACTATCCCCAATCTAGTAGTCTCCCGATAATTCACGAAGGTTCGAGAGAAGGACGTGGCGTGATATTAGTCACGTGACCTCGCTGACGCAACACCGGTATAAATTCTTTCCGAGGAACTGCAGCGATACAAGTTCTTTCTTAATTAAAACTAGTTTATTATTTCTCGATACAAACTTTTAATACACAGTAAATAATTATAGTTTTTTAATCCAATGACGTATGTTTTTTCAAATTCAGTGTTTAAGCCCTAGCTTGAAACGTGAGTGAATAGATCAGTTCTCAGTTTTAAAATGTTTGTGACATGTGTGTGTTTGTCCGCTTATAACTGACGAACCGCTGGACCGATTGCCGCTATTATATATATATAAAGATACAGTATGTTGTACAATTATTAACTATTTTTTATTATAATTGATATTAAATGATTCAGATTTTACCACACTTTAGGCTCCAACTGTATAGTATTTTTGTTTTTCCTTCAATATCAACCTTATTACTAACAGACTGAGTCTTCTTCTGTAATATACCTGTATGAGTGTATCATTTAATAACAATTCAAAATCACTTTATGTGTATCATATAATTTCACATGAAATACAACAGTTTATATCCTGCATTTTATTATAGGTGAAAACGAAATCAGGAGAATGGATACCTGCTACGCCGCTAGAGGGAGCCATTTTGGTGAACGTCGGAGATTTGTTGGCTATATGGAGTGACGGACTATATCCGGCCACTGTAAGTGATAATTAGCCAATGATGAAACAACTTAGCTGCGCCATCTATTGAACGCATTTCTTACTAGTAAACAGTAATATACTTATATCTACAATATCTGAATATTCAACGCACATACTTGTTTACATGCAAATATTTATTTGAACATATCATACCGAGCAACATCTCCCACACTGGTTGAATGTAGTAGTTTGTGTTTGATTAGAAATTTAAGACATCAGTGACACAAAGTCAGCTAAGACCTGATTAGTTATATTATTTAACCCTAAAGCAAATATTTATTTCGTAACTTATTGAAATTATATTTATGTTCAGTATTAAAAGAAGAAGAAGCACTTGTAAACGGACATTTATGTTGTGTTTATTTCTGGTTAATGCATGTATTTATACTTAACTTTTATTGAAATGATATGTAGCCTCATCGAATCCTGGTGCCGAGGGAGGAAACTAAAAAGCGGTGTTCAAGAAGTTCTTTAGCCTACTTTGTTCTACCTGATGACATCGTAATGGTGGAACCTCTCGATGGATCCAACAGATTTCCTACAGTTAACGCAGCTGAATATCTTTCTAGCAAATTGAAAACAGTGCTAACTTATATCTAACTGTTCATATTTGTAATATCTAGTCAGGAAATTAGTTAATGTCCACTAAACAATGTGTTACGTATCTGCTTGTTTGTTTGTTTCCGGTAGAAATTACTTCCGAGGATTATCAGTGGTACAAGTCCTTTCTTGATTAAACCATTTTATTCTTTCTCGATACAAACTTGTAGTACACGGTAGTTCCATAATCAGTATGTTTCTCGTCACTTTAAACTTAACAACTTTTATAATACATGCTATAAATCACAGTGATTCACAATCTGGATAACTTCGCTCTCGACGAGTGCAAAACACACACTTTACGGCTCACTAGCTCAAAACTAACAGAATCATAAATTACACGGAATTCAAGGTAATTACTGCTCTCTCTTCATTGATCTATCCACTGGCTTTCACTGTCAGGCTTATATACTAACGAAGAGGGCATCTCGTACACAATCGGACTTCCCCGATCATTTGAGAAACTCATCACGCACGCGCCAGCAGCGTCACGTGACTTCCGCTGTCGTAACAAATGCATCAAGTTCACAGTTATAAACTGTTACTCGATGTACTTACTTCAATTAAATTACCAGTACTTACTTCAAACAATATCACTTTGTATCTGTTGTCGGTTTCTTCACCAGTTTCTGCTTGGTTTACCTCCTGTCGTAGGTTAGGCCTCTGGGATGATAATATCTTCCATTGTTAATCCGAGACCACGATAATATCATAAAACTTTGGCCTAGATCTAAAACTCGTACAAGCTATTATTATTATTTGACAAAAGTCTGTGTGTGTCCGTCCGCTTATCTTAGGGTCCCCCTGGAAATAGATGTCGATGTTTGAATCTACCCCCTCTTTATATCACTGGTATATTTCAGGTAGTATCTTATAAATACAAAGTGTAAACTAGCGAATCGTCATTCACGTATATGTAAGATATATGATATTACATCACAATACGACTGCTAAAGAAGTCTAAATACAACATTTACAACTAGCGCATTGAAATGCTGACACAGAGGTCTTGCTCGTGACGTCAAACACCGTCTTCTGGCAGTCTATATCAATACAACATTCGCATGTTTTTAGTTCTGTGAGACTGTGAAAAAAAGGTTGAAATCTGTACAATTTCAGGATATAACTTTCTTTAGGCACATCGCTCTGATGATTTACAGAGTCACATAACACGACATTACGTAGCTGAAGGCGAGTTTTCCAATTTTCTTTGCCCAAGAAGTAAGTATTATACTTAATGCCCAATATGGAGCAGTGAACTATAGATCACGTGACTTTTTTGACGTCAATGCTAGAATTATATATGCTCTTCTCACTGGAAGCCTCCTACTGTTACGTAATATCAAAACCATTATCGCGTGTTTAGTTAATATGTAACCAAAGTTTTCAACTACCAGTTATTTTGTTAAGATTATTAGGAAAATTGTTCGTACAAATATTAACAACTCTTCTCGAAACTCTAAGTTTCTAACAAATTATGTGGTGTTGAAATTATTTCCAAAGAAACTTCAGTGATACAAGTCCTTTCTTAAATAATACTAATTTGTTCTTTCTCAATACAACTTTGCAATACACTTAATTTCCACAGTCACTTTAACTTAAACACATGCTATAATTCACAACGATTTACACACTTTACTTACGGCTTGACTCAATTATCTGTCTTTATCTCCCTGTCTGCTATTCAATTATCTTTTATGCCGTGACTTCATTTGCCGGCTTATATATATATATAAAAAATAGACGGTGCATAGAGAAGACTAGAGTTGCCATGAATAAACATGATCCTTCTAGAATCTCATGACGTGTTACTACCCGTTTGAGTTCAAGCGGCTGCAGTTCCCGGTCAGCGTCTGCTTTGCGATGACTATCAACAAGTCACAGGGCCAGACATTGTCCACTACCGGGGTTAGAGCTCAGTGGATCTGACTGTTTTCACACGGGCAGCTATATGTAGCCTACTCAAGAGTCAGATCTTCTCGCAGCCTATTTATCCATGCCCCAGGTGGATGTACTTCCAATGTCGT